TTCCTTGGTGTCCACATCACCAACGAACTATCATGGTCCAAACACACCAAGACAGTCGTGAAGAGGGCACGACAAAGCCTATTCCCCCTCAGGAGACTAAAAAGATTTGGCATGGGTCCTCAGATCCTCAAAAAATTCTACAGCTGCACCATCGAGAGCATCCTGACTGGTTGCATCACCGCCTGGTGTGGCAACTGCTTGGCCTCTGACCGCAAGGCACTACAGAGGGTAGTGCGTACGGCCCAGTACATCACAGGGGCAAAGCTCCCTGCCATCCAGGACCTCTATACCAGGCGGTGTCAGAGGAAGGCCCTCAAAATTGTCAAAGACTCCAGTCACCCTAGTCATAGACTGTTCTCTCTGCTACCGCACGGCAAGCGGTACCGGAGTGCCAAGTCTAGGTCCAAAAGACTTCTCAACAGCTTCTACCCCCAAGCCATAAGACTCCTGAACAGCTAATCATGGCTACCCGGACTATTTGCACTGCCCCCCCACCCCATACTTTTTACGCTGCTGCTACTCTGTTAAGTATTTATGCATAGTCACTTTAACTCTACCCACATGTACATATTACCTCAACTACCTCAACTAGCCGGTGCCCCCGCACATTGACTATGCAACGGTACCCCCCTGTATATATAGCCTCCCTACTGTCACTTTATTCTATTGTATATATAGCCTCCCTACTGTCACTTTATTTTTACTTCTGCTCTTTTTTTCTCAACACTTTTTTGTTGTTGTTTTATTCTTACTTTTTTGTTTAAAATAAATGCACTGTTGGTTAAGGGCTGTAAGTAAGCATTTCACTGTAATGTCTGCACCTGTTGTATTCGGCGCATGTGACCAATACAATTTGATTTGATTTGATTTGATTTGAATATGGGACCAAATACTACACTTTTGACTACTTTAATACACATAGAAGTGAATTTTTCCCAATACTTTTGGTCCCCTAAAATGGGGGGACTATGTACAAAACGTGCTGTAATCTCTAAACGGTTCACATGATATGGATGAAAATACCCTCAAATTAAAGCTGACAGTCTGTATTTTAACCTCATAGTCATTGTATAATTTCAAATCCAAAGTGCTGGAGTACTTTTGGAGCTCACTGTATATTTTTGGAACGTTCGTTCAAATCAGCTGTTCAGAAATATGAGGCAGAGACATAGGTTACATCATCATATTGATCTAATTGGTTGGTTGAGGGTTCAGAAGAGGGTGAGTAAAGAGAGAAATGTGAATGTGTGTGAATAACATGCGCAGAACGTGATTTGGATCCTTAGATTTGAGAAAGAAGTTTCCAGAAGGGTGGGACAGGGCCTAAAACTCTGTATTCGTAGCCTCGGCCTAAAAAGAAACTCCAGCACACTGGTGATCCTGATACTCCACAGATTTAATGGAAGTCCTCTCCTTCAACTGCACCAATCTGAAAACACAAAATATAATGGCAGAAATCATATTATTTTGCTTTCCACCCATCCAGCCGTTTCAGTCAGATCAATGCAGAAGACAACGGACACAAGGTCAGGGTGCCACTGTAGACAATTGAGACGCAGGCTCTCTTCCAGATGGGCTGTAGTGAAGTGTGGGTGAAACGGGCTACTGATCTGTCTTCTTGGCACAAGCCAGACTTGAGCGTTCTAAAGAACTACTATCGTATCTGAAGATTATGCCTTTGTTAAATGTTTTTCATGAAGAAATGGAATGTGTTTATGTTAGTATCAAGAGGGAATGTTTTAGGTGTAACGCCACATCCAACAGACCGGAAGTGTGGTGTAGATACGGGGATTGGACAGTAGAGGGAGCCACTCACATCTTGGAAGGTTATATATAAGGGGGGAACAACGACGGAGGGGCAGAACGAGCAGCCATTCTGAGGCGTCGTTCTCCGGGTGTCATGTCACCTGTCATTTATGCTGTAACCTCGTGATTTTAATAAAAGCCTCTAACACGATGCAGCATAGACGGACTCTTTGTTGACAGCAATAATGGCCACCATTCACCCGATACGACACTACACTGCCAACTAAAGAGCAACATGTGTTCACTCTGAAGTGGCACTCAGGGAGAACCAACAAGCAGTGTGTGTGTGTGTGGAGGGAAGCTTGATAGCATACCTGTACCATTTTGCCACCTGAAGGGTAGCCACTCTGTGATTCTTGCAGGTCCCTGCCCTCTGCTGGTGAATGTGCATTTTTACAACAACCCAAGAAAGCAGTGTGCCACCAATCTCCTAATTATCCATCGCCATCAAATACACAACAAACCCCTCACATGTCAATATATACCTGAATTTAACACAGAACATGACATTTTCATTTTTCAATGCTGTCAGAGTGAATAAAAGGCTGTAGTGTTGGTTGCCCTTGGCGCCCATGTGGAGTGTCTGAGTTGTTTGACATTCACCTGGCTCCTCATCAAGTTCCTAAAGCTGCCTGTCATCATGGCTACACTGTTCACTTCTCACTACCGTCTCTGATGAAAGTAAACCGTGTGAGTTTTTGTCACATTCACGTGCACACAGACACACAAACACACAGAGGCACCTATACACACACACACATGCATACACTCACACCACACACACACATCGACAGACACACCCAAGACTTCAGCCTAGCATGACTTTCCCAGACTAATACACTCCGGTTTCTCCCAAACACCTTCTTTATAAGCCTCAAGGCATCTGATCATAACCTGGACCTGCCATTCAAAGTGACCACAGGTACAGTACCAGTCAAAGAGTTTGGACACACATACTCATTCAAGGGTTTTTCTTTATTTTTTAAAAACTATTTTCTACATTGTAGAATAATAGTGAAGACATCAAAACTATGAAATAACACATATGGAATCATGTAGTAACCAAAAAAGTGTTAAACAAATCAAAATATATTTTATATTTGAGATTCTTCAAAGTAGCCACCCTTTGCCTTGATGACAGCTTTGCACACTCTATGCATTCTCTCAACAAGCTTCATGAGGTAGTCACCTGGAATGCAGGTTGTTAAAAGTTAATTCGTGGAATTTCTTTCCTTCTTAATGCGTTTGAGCCAATCAGTTGTATTGTGACAAGGTAGGGGTGGTATATGCAAAGAAAAAAAAAAGACAATTGTCACAATATGACATTCCACACACATTCAATTCTACTCGAGTAGAAGAAGACAATTGAAGGTGTCTGGAATGTCATGTTGGGACTAAATGTTTAGTTGTTTATCAGGCTGGCAGTACATCTGACTGACCTCACTCTGCCCCTGAAACAATGTCAGCTATGTGACTGAGGCGCAGCTCACGGCTTGTGTCCCCTCTTGGCATTTGGCTGTGACTCTGCTAACATTTTCATTAGAGGGCTAGTGGTGAATGTGAGTGCCTGGCAACAGCTTGACCCTTACAGCTCTGTGATATTTAGGGTTATATCATGCCATAGTACTCAGGGAATGTTGGGAGTTAGTTAGCCACTCAATACACTTTAAGTCTACTGCACTTCCTGATTATTCCAAGACTGAACAAAAATAGTAAAAACTGGATAGTGAAAATTCGGAATGAATTGCCTCTATACACTTTTAAGGAATTGTGCTTGCTTCGGTCAAATGTTCATTTATTTTAAATTGTTTAAGGCTGTTCATTTACTCAGATGGTAATGTTTTCTGACTAACCCCATTTTGCTGGTGGACGTGTGATCAGGTGACTGTACAGGACAGGAAACCTGTAGGAGTCTAGGGGGTACACACACAAGCCAGAGTCAAAACTTCCTGAGTTACCTCTGACCTATTCAATAAACTGGCTAAAGTAAACAGTGCATTGCGATAACAAAGGTATGGGGGAAAACAGAGGAGGAAAATGAGTTCATATTAGGGACTTTATGTTAGAATTACTGACTCTATTTCCTCACCTATAGATAAGACTATTCACTATGGGGTCAGAATACAACGTTTTTCAGAACTGTTAATCAACATGGCCACCACTGTTTGAAGATGGATACGTTTAGATCTGTGTGGGTAGGCTGTAATAGTAGGGGAAATATATTGATTATCATTCTAAGACAGCCATCTAAAATGTTTAGTGTGTGTGTGTGTGTGTGTGTGTGTGTGTCCATCTCACAGATTTCAGTACATAAACGTTAGTGCATACCAGATAAGTGACAAGTGATCTGTAACAATAAATGTAGCCAATGCAACACATTTACACAAGTAGCTATTTACTAACTAACTGGTGCAGGGAATCTCCAATGTTTAACCACCAAATAAGATTACAAGATTACAGTCAATGTGGACATGTGTTCCTGGGTTTAATTTGATTAAACTCCCACTTGGTGAGTGACTGCTACTGTGTAAATTAACCTGTAGTATAGGGACACAGTCCCTCTCCTGCCATAGTCCAGTCTGACCTTGTGTGATAGTGTTGAACCCAGCAGAGCCTCCAAACAGTAGATTACTACTCCCTCAATGGTGCTACTTTGTCTCCATAAATCACAGGCAAGGGTGTGTGTATTCATTAGTTGCATTCCGTTGCAAAACCGTTTGTCTGTTGCATAGCACTTTGCAGAATAAACCGTTTGCTTTAGGAAACAAACAGAAGCAAATAGAGCAAACGGAACTAAACGGGGAGGAACCTACATTAATTTGTACAATACAAACTCTTGTTTTCATTTGGACTAAAGGGTTTTTGTTGCAAAACGTTTTGCAACAGACAAAACATTTTGCAATGGAATCTGACAAATGAATACACCACAGATCAGTCCTCCCCATTGATGTGAATGCATTCTAGACACAGAAATCAGAATGGGTTACCTTCAGTATAGGATCACCACACAGGACAACATGACTAACGATGCAAAGATGGCAGCACACAGACCTATAAGCCATACTGTATAGTCTCTAGTCCAAGCAGGATGTGAATGGTACACTACAGAGGGTTCCCCCACTTGAAATAATGCCAATAGGATCACTTTGGGTTCACTAGGCTGTACAGGACTGTAAGGTCTAGGTGTAGACAGGATAGAGTGTGTGATGTCAGAGGGCTGGGCAGGGCCAGAAGGTTCAGACAGCTGTCTGCTAAACAAGGATTACAGAGCAAGGGATCTCTCCCTCTCTCTAATTCTCTCCCTCCATGGTGGGGAAATGACAGTCATGTTGATGGAAGATATCTCATTTCTGGACAGAGAGAGGTAAGGATATTGTCTATTTCAAACTGATTTGTTGTGTATTTGATTGTTGTGTAACTGCTGGACAATTTGTTGGGACAGGGCTTGGAGAGCAGTAATCCGTCCTGCTCTTGGAAGAGTAAAGCCTATTCTGGTTTGTACTAGCCAGTTGACCAACATGGTCCAGGCAGGGCTGCAGTTAACTATGTGCTTGGTCTATTCAGAGTATATTTGGGCTATTCTAAAGAAAATAAAAATAGGTGTGAATTTAAGTGTTTAACCTATTCAATTAGGTGCCCTGATGACCACTATCATTCAGTTGTGTATTGGTTTAAGAGGCCAGGTCAGAAAGGCTACAAAGTAAAACGTGTTTTGGTTATGTAATTTAGATGTTCACAGGAGCCCCTAGCACATTCTTCCACATTGAATGGAGGGCAGGCATACCCAAATTGTTGATGGAGTCCTACAACTATAGAGCTTACTAGCAACGCATTCCAGAGAGCAGCACTCACGCGTTGCAATATAGGAACGTGGTGATTAACAGTTACTCACAGCTGCTGAGAAAGGCATGCATTGTTGATCTCACTTCTTTAAATACTATGGGCGTTGTCTGATATCAACCAGGGGTTTGACACTTTGTACGCGTACACCAAAACGTTGAACAATACCGCACAAGTGTTTGTGTGCGTCGACGCTGGTGCGTGAATATTAAGGTCTCCCTTATTTGACGAACGTGTCCAGAATATCCGTTTCAATGTTGTCTCGTAAGTAATTTCATATCGTTGTAGTTTGTATCACTTTTAAACGACAAGTAGTGTAAAAGTACTTGGCAGTGACATTCAAACATTTAATTTCGAACCAGTGTGCCAAATGCGCACACAGTCAAAATCCAGTAATGGTCAGGTGGTCAAGTCTGGTGACAATTTCAAATTAAAACAATTTAAATGTATTTACTCTTGCTGAGTAAGTCTTGTAGGATATGTCCATGTTTTTGTCTGAGAAAAGGTGAACATTGTATAATTCACTTCAGATACAAAGTGTATGAACAGGAGGTGCATTATGTCAAGCACTTGGATGTGTGAGTAGCCCCAGCTTTGTGGATGAATGTTTTTTGTTTTTTTCAGAGACCATGAGGGGATGGGAAGGGTTTATTGGGTTATGCCCAGAGGGGTTCCTCTCTCTCAGGCATTTAAATGTCATCTCCAAAGTACTTGTAGAGCAGGAACAGGACATTTCACACAGGTACTCAGAGGTCGGGGCCAGGCAAGACTTAGTCTGTGATACACTGTATATACAAAGGTATGTGGACACCCCCTTCAAATTAGTAGATTCAGGTGTATAAAATCGAGCACACAGCCATGCAATCTCCATAGACAAACATTGGCAGTAGAATGGCCTTACTGAAGAGCTCAGTGACTTTCAACGTGGCACCGTCATGGGATGCCACCTTTCCAACAAGTCAGTTCGTCAAATTTCTGCCTTGCTAGAGCTGCCCTAGTCAACTGTAAGTGCTGTTATTGTGAAGTGGAAACATCTAGGAGCAACAACGGCTCAGCCACAAAGTGGTAGGCCACACAAGCTCACAGAATGGGATTGCCAAGTGCTGAAGCACCTAGTGCGTAAAAATTGTCTGTCCTCGGTTGCAACACTCACCATCGAGTTCCAAACTGCCTCTGGAAGCAACGTCAGCACAAGAACTGTTCATCAGGAGCTTCATGAAATAGGTTTCCATGGCCGAGCAGCCGCACACATGCCTAAGATCACCATGCTCAATGCCAAGCGTTGGTTGGAGTGGTGTAAAGCGTTACCCGCCATTGGACTCTGGAGCAGTGGAAACGCCTTCTCTGGAGTGATGAATCACATTTCACCATCTGGCAGTCCGAAAGACGGATCTGGGTTTGGCGGATGCCAGGAGAACGCTACCTACCCCAATGCATAGTGCCAACTGTAATGTTTGGTGGAGTAGGAATATTGGTGTGGGGCTGTTTTTCATGGTTCGGACTAGGCCCCTTAGTTCCAGTGAAGGGAAATCTTAATGCTACAGCATACAATAACATTCTAGAAGATTCTGTGCTTCCAACTTTGTGGCAACAGTTTGGGGAAGGCCCTTTCCTGTTTCAGCATGACAATGACCCCATGCACATAGCGAGGTCCATACAGAAATGGTTTGTCGAGATCAGTGTGGAAGAACTTGACTGGCCTGCACAGAGCCCTGACCTCAACCCCATCGAACACCTTTGGGATGAATTGGAACGCTGACTGCGAGCCAGGCCTAATCGCCCAACATCAGTGCCCAACCTCACTAATGCTCTTGTGGCTGAATGGAAGCTAGTCCTCTCAGCAATGTTCCAACATCTAGTGGAATGCCTTCCCAGAAGAGTGGAGGCTGTTATAGCAGCAAAGGGGGGACCAACTCCATATTAATGCCCATGATTTTAGAATGAGATGTTTGACGAGCAGGTGTCCACATCCTTTTGATCATGTAGTGTAAGTCATCTACCACAGTCACACTTTTAGTTGACTGTGACATCAGCTTCTCACAGGATGTCATCTCCTCTCCTCATGTTGAAATTGTCCCTTCTCTGTTAGGAGATTCACCTGAGATTCAGTCAAGTCTCAGACTCTGGTCGCATCTAGACCCCTGGGGAGGCTCCATGGAGGAGAAGGAGGAGAACCCGCTGGAGAGGGAGCATACTCTAGCAGTGGTTCTACCAGGAGGCCTGGAGAAAACAGCCACGGTACATGGGAGGTAAGAGGCATACAGACAGGATAATTTTTCATTTTCATCTAAATCAGATGAATTCTATAGAACTAGACCTCTCAATTCTGTCCATTTGCTCTTCAGTGGAGCCATATGAAGTCATACTGTGTATTTGGAATGGATTGACTGAGTACGAAAAAAGTATGAAAATGTATGCACTCTCGATAAGAGCGTCTGCTAAATGACAAACATCACTAAAATGAATTTTAAACCATGAATATAACTCTATACTGTATACACATGTAGTACACAAGCGCTGTGATTGTATCTCTACAGTAAACCTGTGATGGACCTACTGGTCACACTCTGTGCCCAGTACCACCTGAATCCATCTGACTTCACCATAGAACTCCAGTCAGCCAATAGAAACAACATCTCCTTCAAACCCAGCTCTCTCATTGGAGCCATGGAGGCTCACAGGATCCTACTGAAACCTAAAGGGGGAGAGGAGAAGATAAGGAGGCCATACGTGCCAGAGGTATATACTGACAAAATGCATCTAGACACACAAACACACACACACTAACCAATCTCCATCCTAGGTCAGTTTATGTACTGAAGGGATGCTGTTTCCTATAGGCCACTGTACGTCTGCTGATCAACTACAAGAAGAACCATAAGGCCGTTGTGAGGGTCAACCCTAGAGTCCCGCTGGAGCAGCTCGTGCCTGCGGTGTGTGAGAAGTGTGAGTTTGACCTGGAGTCCACCATCTTACTGAGAGACAACAGCTCTGAAGAACCTTTAGACCTGACCAGGTCCCTCAATGACTATGGATTGAGGGAACTGTACGCAAAGGACACGGCAGGTGAGAGATGTTTTTATGTTACTCTGCTTTTGAGTTTTGGTGGCACTGGTAGTAATGACATAGTTGTTTCATACCCAAACTTTTGGAGACATTTGGCTGTTTCTACAGAATATTATTTACCCACTGAGTTCATAGTGTATGTATACTGTAAATATGAAAATGCTAACATGGATGTTCTATCTATGTTTTTCTAATCTTGAACAGCTGTCAGTCCTGCTGTCAGTCCTGAAGTGGTTATCACATTACCTCTCCCCGAAGGTACAAAACTTTACGAAAATGTCTGAAAATGTCCAATTTAAACAATTAACACATTGAATTAGAATACAAGTGTTGTATGTTCTGCTGTTGCTATTTCTTTCTCCTAGAAGCACCTGTTGGAAATACACCATGTAAAGAGAAGAACCGGAATGAAAAAGAGAACAGGGGATTGTTCGGCTTATTCAGGAGAATTAAGAAGAAACCGGAAAAGGTACTTTTATTTTACATTTATGTCATTTAGCAGACGCGCTTATCCAGAGCGACTTACAGGAGCAATTAGGGTTAAGTGCCTTGCTCAAGGGCACATCGACAGATTTTTCACCTAGTCGACTCAGGGATTAGAACCAGCAACCTTTCGGTTACTGGCACAACGCTCTTAACCACTAAGCTACCTGCCGCCCCTCTCCCAGAGCTTAGCTTTACCATTGAACGTAGGCATTGTGTAAGAAATTGATTTTTGACTTTGACTAGATCTGTGAATGCAGTTGTTTTTTCTCAGCTGTGCTAGATTTGAGTGTGTGGTAGGATTTCAGTGTACACTTTGTGATATGTGTTTTTGCTGTGGTCTTCTTCTAAAGGGTCTCTCAGTGAGTGCCCCGGCCTCGCGTGGTCTGAAAAACCAGCAGGTGGCCAGCGTCAGCATGAACACCCTGGTTGTCCACTCCTCCAACACCCTGCCCATGGACAACGCCAAGAAAAGACGGGCACCAATGCCTCCCATGGCAGGCTCCCAAAGCGTCCCAGCCAACCTCAACGTCCAGCCGGTGATCGGCTGGTGGTTTAGGGATTAGGATTTAGGGCTGTGTCTCGATACTCTTTCATGGCTTCCTTTGCTTGTCTGCTTTGTTATTACCACTAATAGAGTACCACAGAATGAGTCATAATACTCATAAAACCTAGCGGTCAAACAAGGAAATGGTTCCAATCGTTTTTCCACCATTAATTTTTCCCATAGGGGATTTTAGAAACACTTAAAATTAGGGCTGTGTTTCGTGTAGGCTTACTCTGGCGTGACGTTTTGATAACCGTGTAAATTTCTCTAGGACAAGGGGACTTTTGTAAATATATTTGCCTGTATTTACCCCCCAAAAATGAAATGCTGATTAGCTGCTAATGTGGCTATCATAAATAACTACAAATGCCATGATGATCTGGACGATACTGCCGAATCGAGGCAAAAGTAAGAATCTCTGGATTAACTATCCAGTGTTAGCTAAATGTAGTAATAAATAAATTGGCTTTACATTTCTTTAAATTGTCAATTTTGTGAACTGTCTTGTGCAAGTGTTAAATGTACACTACCTGTTAGCAAAGATGTCAGCTAGAGATGACATGCAGGAGCTTGCAGGGATTTGTAGTCTTACATGATGTCTGCTAATTAGCATTTTCAAATCTGAGAGTAAATAGAGCCGATTTATATTGATAAAAGTCACCTTGTCCGAGAGAGATTTACATGGTTATCAAAACATCACGCCAGAGTAAGCCTACACTAAACACAACCCTTATTTTAAGTGTTTCTAAAATCCCCTATTGGAAAAATGAATGGTGGAAAAACGATTGGAACAATTTCCCTGTTTGACCGCTAAGTTTTATGAGTATTATGACACCTCCACTGTGGGGCTCTATAGGTGAAAGGACAGGGGAGACTTCCACCATATTGATTTCACCTGATTATGCTCTGCAAGTTTAGTGGTTGGAGAGAAAAGGAAGCATGTCAATACTATTGAGACTCAGCGGTAGATATTAGACTTTAGATCGTGGTTCCAAATCATTGTTCCCTGACCAGTGAGAATGTATGGGGGATTTAGAGGATCCTGTGTTAAAGCTGTGTTTTGTTTCTGGTGTTTTCCAGTTGACCTCTAGGAAGAAGAGGAGAGCCCCCCCGCCACCCCCCTGTGCCCCCCCACTACCATCCTCCTGTGTTAACACGCACAACAGACCACCCCAGGACCCTGAGATCAAAGGTCAGTCATTTTGAATCACTAGTTGACTTGTAATCTGAATGGACTCTCAGTGCTGTAATATCGAGTTAGATCAGGGATGGGCAACTTTGATGGGGGTGGGGGCCACAAAAAAACAGAACTCATGAGGGGCCGCAGGGGCTCGTGGGTCTGCGTACCCACATCATACATGCCCCCACCCCCAACTTGCGAGTAAAACATTTTAGTGGCCCCACATGTTACAGCGAAGAGAAACACTTTACGTTTTAAAGTTCATTTCCTGCAATTCTGCACATTTTGCCGTAGGATGGAGGCAAATGTTTGCAGGTTTTTATATGATAACTAATGATCAATGGGCCCCTCCCCGGTCGGTAATTCGACCATGCTTACTTCAAGTTTAGATAGCTGGCCGCTAGACTAACTTACCAATCTAAAAAATACAAATGCTGACATGGGCTAATTGAGTGACTGCTGATGCACAACCAAATTCCGAAATTGCACCTTGTGTATTCTATGATTCTAACTCTCAACAGTAAGTTGAGACCCCGACTGAGTTCCTTTTTTGAAATAGGTCCGCGGACCTACAGTACAAAAGCGCCCCATGGGCTGGCAGTTGCAATCCCTGAGTTAGAGGGTGGGCTCATGTAGAATAATGTACTGCATATGGTGTCTCATCTGTCCTCTAGTGGTCAATATTTTTGTGGGCTCTTTCTGTTGACTCCTATTCTCCTGTTTGACTGGTTGTCCTGCTTGGCTGTTGGTTCTCCTTGGCAGTCGTGTTTATCTGTAGGCTGTTTAGATCCAGACTGAGCTCCCAGTAGGCAGTACTCTTTAATCCTGGTACCTGAGCAGGATTGTAGACCACTGTTCTAAGCAGTTTCCCTTCTTTCTCCCCTGCAGACGGCGTGTGAGAGCTCTGTCCTCCTTTCCTCCTCTTCCTCTGTGCTGCTCCTCCTCCTCCTTCTGTTCCACACTCCTCCTGTCCCGTGGTGAACTGTTCTTCCTCCTCTCCTCCATGTTGGTTTTTGGACTGTCATGTTTGTCTTCTTTATAATCTCTTATTTAATTTTTTCTTTTTAATTTGTTTATTTTGTAAGCGTATTGTGCTTTTACCGCCTGTGTAACCTTTGGTTTAGATGGTAGGTTTCTCAGTACAGTAACACACTGCTTTATTTCCTGCAATATCATAACTGTGCCTTCTAAAGATATGCTTCCAAGAACACACACCTCACAGCGTAAATGAATGACTTACTTCACAAGTTCACCTTTGTATGAAACCATGAAGGGATTTGGTTTTATTGTCTCCAAAACGTATTTTCTGTTTTGTTTTGTTTGTTTCTGCTCCCCAATTGACATGTTTTCTACCATTCCCCTCTTTCTTTTCAATCATAGTTTAAACTACATCTGTTAAGGAGGTAATGTTTTCTAAGTCAGACATAGCTTGATATTCCTTGTGCAAATAATAATTTTGTCATTATTTTACAAATGTATTCATTCGATTTTAATAAAGTGCTCTCTCACTTGTTTTGTCAGAAACTGGGCTGTGTGTGTCTGTACTGTCTAACATGAGTTACAACCACCTAAGTACTAATTTCAATCACAATCTAATCTACAATCATCTTTGCACCCTTATTTCCTATATTGCAATCCTCAGTTACTCAAACCCCCTAACATCCTAACAGTTTCTGTCTTTACAGGGAATGGAGTGTCACTTTACACACTGGAGGAGGAGATGGAAGAGTGTGAGGAGGACCTGGACTCCCCATCCTCTTCCCCAAACATCTCCAGCCCTTTGACTCAGCCTCGAGTGCCCCCCACTCCCCCTTCTACCCCCTCCACTACCTCTCGTCCCTCTAGCACCTTTCCACCCTCCAATCCCTACCATCCCTCTCCTCTCTGCCCCTCCCTCCATAGGGGAGATGTTAACCTCTTTCCAGCTTTGTCAAACCCGGGCCAAGCTCAAGCATCCTTCGTTCCCAACCCCAAGACCCGTCAACTCCACCAATGGAGGCTCACCTGGGTCCTTGACACAGTCTGGTGGAAGTCAGGAACTCCGTCCCCTCTCTTTGCTCCAACTGAAGACAAAGGCCTGTGGTGAGGCTTGGAGGAGTCCCGGTCTGAGGGAGGGGATGACCACCTTTACCGTGGTGCCCCGAGGGCAGTCCCTGAGGGGGCAGAGGGACTTGGAGGTGGACCTGACCCTGTTGAAGACCCAGGCCTCAGACCCAGCCCAAACTATTCATGAACACTCCAATGGTGTTGCTGAACCTGGGTTGGAGCTCCACCAGACAATGAAGGAAACACCTGTATCGCTGGAGAAGTCAGAGGTTGAGGGATCCACCCCTATTGCCTGATATGGATTCTAAACTTTCTCCTCCAGGGTTTCCAGAAGGTTTTACTGACTGTGTCATCAGTCCTCCAACCGTGTCTAATCCTAGCGAGCTTTACCAGACCGCACCACATTCACCAGTGGTAGACCCACAGGAGAGTCCAGAGATAGAAGCCCAGGAGGAGTCTGCATCACCCACAGATAGTCTAGACTCAGAGGTAGCAGTCCAAGAGGAGTCGGAATCACTCTCAGAGATACCCAACCCATATGCAGCTGACCTGTTGGCCCACACCAATGGAAGACCTGGAGATGAGGTGACCTCAACTCCTGAACTACTAGAGAGCAGGGGATCGTTCTGGAAGCCCAGCCCGGTGATAGAGGAGGCAGAAGAGGACCGTTTCTGTTTCCCTCCTCCCCCTCCCCCTGTGTGCTATGATAAGGAGGTGGAGGAGACAGAGCCGACCCAGTTACGAGTGAGGCCTCCTGGGGGAAGAACTCTCCGCCCTCCCTCTTTTCCTCCACCTTCTCTTCCTACACTGAGTCGTACCTTCTGTGAACCAGCAGAGGGAGACAATCAGACCAACGCCCCTTCTTCACCCAAACCGAACATGATTCATTTGACTTCACCCAAACCATACGTGCCTCCCACTGCAGCCAAAACCCTGGCCAGGAAAACCGCCATCCCCTCCTGCTTTGCCCAGGCTGTGGCTCTAGCCGTCCGTAAGTCCCAGTCCTCCTGTCCCCGGAGGCCAGCACCAGACCTGCTTCCCCCCCGTTCGTCCCTCTCCGGCTCCTCACCCTCCTCTGCCTTACCGCTAACCAACGCGGTGAGTGATGATTTTGACCTGCACTGACACGGTGATGACATGCTGGCATATTGCCATTGTAGCAACTGGATTGGACTCAAAACTAAAGCATTGGTTACTCCATCATACTACGATGTGGTTGCTTCTATACATCAAGTTGCCATTCTTAACTTTCATGATCTCTCTGTGAACCTCACATGTTCCACAGGTGAACTCTTTACACCAGTGGAGGCTGGTGGGAGGAGCCATAGGAGGATGGACTCATTGTAATGGCTGGAATGAAATAATTGGAATGGAGGCAAATATGGTTTCCATGTGTTTGATACCGTTCCATCTATTCCATTCCAGACATTCCAATGAGCCCGTCCTCCTATAGCTCCTCCCACCAGCCTCCACTGCTTTACACAGGAACGATGGGAAAGTAATATTTATAGAGTGTACATTCTACAGTGGGATTTTTTCTCTCTACGAAGACATCATTTGTTACGTTAAATGGCGACATACGCCTTTCTAAACAATCCTGCCAAGCTTTCTTCTGAGACACCTTGATGTTTGTCTGTTATCTTCATGTGTATGTGCAAAATGTGGTATATGGCCCTGTAGAATACCTCTGTGGACACGCTCACACTCTGTGTGACCTGGTGGAGGAAGGACCTAATCTAAACTGGTGATATTTTTGTCTCTTCTGCTACAGGGGCCATAATGGCTTCATAGTAAATCTGTGAATGGAAGTTCCTGTTTAGGGTGAGGCAACTGCAGTGAAGTAGAGCCGGCCACCACATAGTCACATGACCTCCAAATGGACCCCACTTAGAGGTTGATTGACAAATTCCAAAGAAGCCCAAGCCCCTGTTTTGCACTGGGAGTCAGCACGTTATAAAAACAACGATTATCCAAGACTTCATCCAAGAGTTTGGTTAGTGTACAGGTAATTTTATGTTCACTGAATGTATGTTTTTGTATTATGCTACCTGAATTAATTGGAGGCACTGCTGCCTTTTCTTATGTTAAGATATTTGACTTTTATGTGAAGATGTATTTGTTATTTGACCTGGGTAGTACAGTATTTATGGGATCTACATTTTTGTACTTGGGGTTTCCTGTTTCCTCATTCGTGTTGAAATGTGCCAAAACCGAGATTAAAAAATATCATTCTCTTTTTGTTTGTCAAGGACAGAACTCTGAAATAAGACAACTTAAAATGCACATTTTCATTTTGTTATACGAATCATTCTGTACTTATCACACCTTTCTGAGTGAATAATTATATATATATATTTCATGTATCATTACTATAAATATATAAATAAAGGATAATCAACTAAAGTGTGTTACTTTCTTTTGCCACTGGAGGGCAGGAGCACACTTCACAAATAACTAATGTACAGAACCACTGAGTGTTTTGTGATCCACACTTGATAAATTATTAGCATTGAAATATCCAGATATTTAAGAAGAGCATCCATTATCATTAATCTGCTTTGTCTTTACTGGTTATACTTTTTTAAACGCATTAGTATGTTTTATTTCATTCCTTCTTGAAATAGCTTACCCATTATTGAGTTATGGTTGGTATTTTACAAGGATATTCTGCAGGGTGCCATGTTTAGAACATTGCAGGAAGATATGTAATATTAAATGTACATGATGTGAAATAAATAATGTCCTTGCTATGCATTCTATGTTAAGAGTGTAACACATTACTGAATAAACTCAGATAATAGACAGTGTTAAATATTGTACTGTTGACATACTGTACCCCTGCCCGAGGGCTGCACTGTGTAACAGTATGCTTGGGTGTTGAGTGCATCCACAGTATATTGATTCAGCTTTGGCCTTAGAGAGATAGACCGCCAGCAAGCAGCCGTCCCTACATACAGTCAGACCTAGCCAGAGCAGATACAGCCTGTGGTTAAAGCCTCTTACTACCAGACCAGGGCCGAGTGCTGGGATACACTCCTCTCCTCTAGCTTCATCCTTCTCTCCACCTTAGGAGAGGATGGGGGGGGTGGGGGGGGTGCTGGGAGGTGACCTCTGACCCTATCGTGTTTCCACGGCGATCCCCCCGGAGGATGCGTCCTGGCCCTCAAGGGCAGCGGCGATGTCACGCGGCCGTTGTCATGGAGAATGCCATTATCGCCCCTAAGGGAGAACACGTCTCAAAGGTAAAGGAGAGAGAAGGAGACACACACACAGACACTGAAGCTACCTAAAGATATCCAGTACAAGTGACAACTCTGGCATTCTCCTTCTTGTGATGAAAGGTTGCATTTCAACGTGGGCTATGATGTTATACACTACATGACCAAATGTATGTGGACACCTGCTCGTCGAACATCTCATTTCAAAATCATGGGCATTAATATGGAGTTGGTCCCCCCTTTGCTGCTATAACAGCCTCCACTCTTCTGGGAAGGCTTTCCACTAGATGTTGGAACATTGCTGCGGGGACTTGCTTCCATTCAGCCACGAGCATTAGTGAGGTCAGGCGCTTATGTTGGGCGATTAGGCCTGGTTCGCAGTCGGCGTTCCAATTCATCCCGATGGGGTTGAGGTCAGGGCTCTGTGCAGGCCAGTCAAGTTCTTCCACACCGATCTCGACAAACCATTTCTGTATAGAACTTGTTTGTGCACAGGGACATTGTCATGCTGAAATAGGAAAGGGCCTTCCCCAAACTGTTGCCAGAAAGTTGGAAGCACAGAATTGTTTAGAATGTCATTGTATGCTGTAGCGTTAAGATTTCCCTTCACTGGAACTAAGGGACCTAGCCCGAACCATGAAAAACAGCCCCAGACCATTATTCCTCCTTCACCAAACCTTACAGTTGGCACTATGCATTCGGGCAGGTAGCATTCTCCTGGCATCTGCCAAACCCAGATTTGTCTGTCGGACTGCCAGATGGTGAAGCGTGATTCATCACTCCAGAGAATGTGTTTCCACTGCTCCAGAGTCCAATGGCGACATGCTTTACACTACTCCAGCCGACGTGGCATTGCGCATGGTGATCTTAGGCTTGTGTACAGCTGCTCGGCCATGGAAACCTATTTCATGAAGCTCCCGACGAACAGTAATTGAGTTGACGTTGCTTCTAGAGGCAGTTTGGAACTCGGTAGTGAGTGTTGCAACCAAGGACAGACGATTTATACACGCTAGCTCTTCAGCACTCGGCGGTCCCGTTCTGTGAGCTTGTGTGGCCTACCATTTAGCGGCTGAGCCGTTGTTGCTCCTAGACGTTTCCACTTCACAATAATAGCACTTACAGTTGACCAGGGCAGCTCTAGCAGGGCAGAAATTTGATGAACTGACTTGCTGGAAAGGTGGCATCCTATGACGGTGCCACGTTGAAAGTCACTGAGCTCTTCAGTAAGGCCATTCTCCTGCCAATGTTTGTCTATGGAGATTGCATGGCTGTGTGCTCGGTTTTATGCACCTGTCAGCAACAGGTGTGGCTGAAATAGCTGAATCCACTCATTTAAAGGGGTGTCCACATACGTTTGTATATATAGTGTATCTTGTCAGATGATTATGCAGATGTTCAAAGCATGAGGGAAAACTCCTTTTTAGATGATAACATACTGTAAATGTAGGATCATATTGTGTCAGTCACATTAGAGATTGAATTAATAAAGCCTTTGATTAAGCAGTGCCTTTTAGATCAAATTAAATCAAGCTTTATTTATACAGCACATTTCAGACATGAATGCAACACAATGCGCTTCACAGGAAAAAAAACATACATTAAAAACAATGAATAAATAGAAACTGAAATATTTACTACACAACAAACATAAGAGGATAAAAAACAAAATAATAACAATTAAAAAGGAACAATTAAAAAGCACCCTGCGGAAAAGCAAAGCTAAAAAGATGTGTTTTAAGATCTCTTTAAAATATATCCACAGTTTCGGCCCCCCTCAGGTTCTCTGGCAGGCTATTCCAGAGGCTGGGGTCATGGTAACTAAAGGCTGCCTCTCCATGCCTCTTGGTCCTAGGCTTTGGGATAGTTAAAAGGCCAGTGCCAGAGGACCTGAGGGACCTACTGGGTACATAACTTAAAGCATACCTGACACGTATTGGGCTGCACAATAGTGGATTGACTTAAAAACCAATAGAATAATCTTTAAATTAATTCTAAAACGCACAGGCAGCCGGTGCAGAGACTTTAAAACCGGTGTAATGTGTGCTCTACGTCTGGTCTTGGTCAGTACCCATGCTGCAGCATTCTGTATGTTTTGCAGTTGACCAATGGCTTTCTTGGGTAGGCCAGACAGGAGAGGATTACAGTAGTCAAGCTTGTTTGTAATAAAGGCATGGATGAGTCTCTCTGTATCAGCCTGAGAAACGGCCGCACCTTTGCAATATTCCTCAGGTGGTAAAAAGCTATTTTGGTCACATTCCTAATGTGTGATTCGAAATTAAGTTTTTTACCTGATATTGTATCTTTATTCCCCGTAAATTAAAATGTGTGGCCAAATTCTCTCTCTGTGCTTTGGCTCCAATAATAAGTACCTCGGTCTTGTCTTGATTTAGCTGGAGGAAGTTGTGAGCCATCCAAGTATTTAAATCACTAATACAGTCTAATAATGTATCTGTGAAGCTGAAATCCTCTGGTGACGCAGACATGGAAAGTTGTGTATCGTCTGCGTAGCAGTGAAAATCAATTCTGTGCTTTCTGATAATGCTGCCAAGGGGTAACATATATAAACTGAATATCTATTTTCTCTGAGTTATGTTCACCAAGGGTGACAAAGATGAAGAGCCTGTTTTGTGTTGATGTGGAGGCTGTGGGGAGCTAGGGGGAGAGCCACACAGCCTGTGTAATGTAAACCTGAGAGTACCTGGAATACCACTACTAAGTCAAGTACCATTGTGGTTTTACTAGTTCACACTTTGATTTGGTTACTGGTCAAAGAGGGGTCTGTCAACATATGAATGGAACAACCTTTTAAAATGGTCAAATTAAATACATAATTCATTTTTATCATTATTATTATCGTATTTTCTAGTGAGGTTTAAATGTCCTTTGTTTTTGCCTCTGCAATTCTCACTGTCAAAAATACAAGGAAAAGCATGGATTGAGTGAAGGAGTCGCTTTACATCAATAGTACAAATGATCTGGCTTATTTATTGATCTCAAACTCACATCAGAGTGCTCCCTTCACACAGGGAAGAGCAGGAAGCCACTGAAGGTGTTGTAGTTACTTGACTTTTCATCATAGAGCCCCTGATTTACCGGGAGACGCATGTAGACCACATCCCCGGCCTCCAGCTCTAGAGTCAACGCATTAGACAAGAACCTATTATGTCCATTGTCATTGTTCTGGTGATTGAACATAACACTCTTGTCGTTATGGTAAATATAGGCACCTATGGACTGTGGCCCCTTGAGACCCATGGCAGTGAATCTGATGTAGTAGAGTCCTCTCACTGGTGCTGTGAAGACACCTGTATCAGAGGAGAGTAAGATAAGTCAATGGACTGTCACAGACACTGTTAGCAATGCTGGAATAGCTGGTTGTCTACATATTTTTATATGGGATAAAGATGATATAATCACAATGCATGTCTACACCTGTCTGATAGCAGATGTCTAATGTGAATAGAGATCTGATCCCAGGTCACATTTGAATACAAGGTGAAAAAGGGGCCTTAGTGTGTTCAGTACCTGTATTTGGGTTGTAGGCCTTGCCGATGTTGGTGATGACCTTTCTGTAGACTAGTGTGGTGATACTATTGAAGGGTCCTAAATATCCATCATTAGTCAAACCAGCAGAGAAGGCCACCTTTGGTCTGTCTATGAACACAGAGGAGGGAATTCAAATCATTGATTAAAGACAAAAACAAACATGGTAAAATGGATCATATGATCCTGATGAAGACAAAAATCACCTAACAAAAGGTTTAACTGAAAAACAAAGATGCAATCTGCGACATTCATCATATTACAAACAGATTCGGCCACGAAGCAAAAAATAAAAACCGTTTTGATTCGCCAACAGCCCAACAGCCATTCCCTTAGATTACAAGCATGTGCAATTGTAGGCCTCTATGCACCATATAGTTACCTGCATTCTCTCTCCTCAGCTCCTCCACCATCCCCTCACTGGCATTCAGTCTGGCCTCTAAGGCTATCATTACAAAAAGACACATTAGTAAACTTAAGCCTAAACTCCCTGTTTTAAGATTCATGGTTTCATAACTATGCCTGAATTCTGGAAGGTGAGCTTATGTCCAATTTTAAAGATCGTCTTTCTCACATAGCTCAGTGCTTTCTCCTTGGCTAAACTAGGCTCGTCATTTAACAGATCCCATACAAGTTTGTAATGAAGGCATATGAAAGTTCAGTGAAGTAGGAAATAGCAACAAACGCCTACGATCTGGAATCCGGTCACATATAAAAACCCTTTACCTGCGTTCCCATTCTCACTGTCTGTCACTCTGGCCTCCAGCCCTAAAATAGCATTGGAAACAGTCATGAGAAGTGAGTTCATATTTACATTTTCATTTTAGTCATTTAGCAGACGCTCTTATCCAGAGCGACTTACAGTTAGTGAGTGCATACATTTTCATACTGGCCCCCCGTGCATATGAGAAATAAGTATAAATAAACTGTCTATAAACAATTTCATAGACAATTTTACAAATACAGTTTTATTTATGACCTTTTCTGAGAAACAGCTGATGTTGGTGGACAAATTACATTACCTGCATTCATTCTCTTCAGCTCTTCCACCTCCATCTCAATGGCACTCAGTCTGGCCCCCATAGCTGGATTTATGGAAACAAAACAATTCTCAAAAACATGTTGATCCTCCGCTGAAACAACTTCATAATTAACCAAATTCCATAAATACCTGCATTCTCACTCTCCAGTCTGGCCTCAGCTCCTCTCCGCCACTTTCCTCTCCACCTTCTTTCCAGTTTTTTCTCCATGTTCCTCAGCTTCTCTCTCTGCTCCACCACCATGGTTCCCAGGTTATCCACCATGTCTCTAAGCTCCTCTACCTCACCCCAGATATCAGGGGTTGTGTTGATCTGGCCGGTCGTCTGTTTGCTAATAGTCTCTGTAGCTTCAGTCCCGTGGCTCTCCACCAAACTCTCTCTGTCCTCTCCGCTCTCCTCCTGAGTCCATGCCCCAGACAGACAGAACAGCAACCCCAGCAGAGCTACAACACCCCTCATTCTGAAATGACAACTCTTCAGAAATAATGTAGTCTGTGAGGCTTACTCCAGGCCAAAAGTAGTGAGCCACTGCAAGAGAAGTGTTTCAAATGTTTCTGACGTAATGTGTACAAAATAACGTCAAGGTTCCTGATTAAGAATACAAGGTGAGCTGACTGCCTTTTTAATCTGAGACACTGCAAGGTTGTGGGGGAACAGAACCTGTTATTTGGTTGAAGGTCTTGATTTATCTCTGTAAGGTACAGTGTGTCGACGTTTGTGTTGATCTACTTACATAATACTGATACTGTGACGGATCACACACAATGCATGAATGCATGCTGTAGACACACTAGAATGCACCCAGATGAACAGATTACACATTCACAAGTAACACAGTCACATAATACACACACGCACACACACACACACACACACACACACACACACACACACACACACACACACACACACGCACACACAAACTGTTGCATGCTGTCAAATCAATTGAGCAGCCCACACAACAACCAGTAATCAGTATATCCCATTCATTTATTCAGTCATCTGTTCATTTGTTTTGATCTATTTATTCAACCATTAAATGTATAGATTTAGGAGGTTTTACAAGGAGCCTCACGGCTGGTATACATACTGTAGTAGTAGGATGATATGATCATCATAAGTAAGCCTATAGGGGTGCTTGCGGTTGGAGTGTGCGTGTGTGTGTGTGTCCACTCGTTCGTACGTGTGTGCTGGTGTGTGTGTGTTCACGGAGTAGCTTTCGCTAGGATTGAAATAGGCAATCGATGAATAACCCAAAGCGTTGTTCTCCTGGACACACTGACTGACTAGCTGGTGGGGGAGAGGAGCTGAACAGTACTCTACAGCTCCACTTGGGGACTGACAGCCCAGCCTCCCCCTCCCCCCACAGTCCGATAGAAATGCAGGAAAGAGAACGTTAGCAGCGCCTGAGGGGGCTGTTGTGTTGGGAAACAAAATGCGAGGGAGACGATGTTTGACCTTTGACCTGGAACATGTATTCAGCTGATCTCCTCTGATCTCCTCTGGAAGAATAGGAAATCAGTGGGTTCCACGTAATTGATATTGTCAGAGTCTTGTAGTGGTGCTTTTTGTATGAGGATATGTGTGGTAACCTGGTTAAATGTTAGGGATATGATACTGGTTTTGGTTTTTATGATGTGGCAAATAGCCAGGGCAAACAAAGACAGAGCAAGAGAGATGTGCTTGTATTCAAGATGACCATTTATTTGAGTTGTGTCAGATTGATGCCAGCTATAAAACTGTAAAAGAGAGAGAGCAAGAGACAGAGAGAGAGAGAGAGCATGTGTGTATGTACAGTGGGGGAAAAAAGTATTTAGTCTGCCACCAATTGTGCAAGTTCTCCCACTTAAAAAGATGAGAGAGGCCTGTAATTTTCATCATAGGTACACGTCAACTATGACAGACAAATTGAGAAAAAAAATCCAGAAAATCACATTGTAGGATTTTTTATGAATTTAGTTGCAAATTATGGTGGAAAATAAGTATTTGGTCATTAACAAAAGTTTCTCAATACTTTGTTATATACCCTTTGTTGCCAATGACACAGGTCAAACGTTTTCTGTAAATCTTCACAAGGTTTTCACACACTGTTGCTGGTATTTTGGCCCATTCCTCCATGCAGATCTCCTCTAGAGCAGTGATGTTTTGGGGCTGTCGCTGGGCAACACAGACTTTCAACTCCCTCCAAAGATTTTCTATGGGGTTGAGATCTGGAGACTGGCTAGGCCACTCCAGGACCTTGAAATGCTTCTTACGAAGCCACTCCTTCGTTGCCCGGGCGGTGTGTTTGGGATCATTGTCATGCTGAAAGACCCAGCCACGTTTCATCTTCAATGCCCTTGCTGATGAAAGGAGGTTTTCACTCAAAATCTCACGATACATGGCCCCATTCATTCTTTCCTTTACACGGATCAGTCGTCCTGGTCCCTTTGCAGAAAAACAGCCCCAAAGCATGATGTTTCCACCCCCATGCTTCACAGTAGGTATGGTGTTCTTTCGATGCAACTCAGCATTCTTTGTCCTCCAAACACGACGAGTTGAGTTTTTACCAAAAAGTTATATTTTGGTTTCATCTGACCATATGACATTCTCCCAATCCTCTTCTGGATCATCCAAATGCACTCTAGCAAACTTCAGACGGGCCTGGACATGCACTGGCTTAAGCAGGGGGACACGTCTGGCACTGCAGGATTTGAGTCCCTGGCGGCGTAGTGTGTTACTAATGGTAGGCTTTGTTACTTTGGTCCCAGCTCTCTGCAGGTCATTCACTATGTCCCCCCGTGTGGTTCTGGGACTTTTGCTCACCGTTCTTGTGATCATTTTGACCCCACGGGGTGAGATCTTGCGTGGAGCCCCAGATCGAGGGAGATTATCAGTGGTCTTGTATGTCTTCCATTTCCTAATAAATGCTCCCACAGTTGATTTCTTCAAACCAAGCTGCTTACCTATTGCAGATTCAGTCTTCCCAGCCTGGTGCAGGTCTACAATTTTGTTTCTGGTGTCCTTTGACAGCTCTTTGGTCTTGACCATAGTGGAGTTTGGAGTGTGACTGTTTGAGGTTGTGGACAGGTGTCTTTTATACTGATAACAAGTTCAAACAGGTGCCATTAACACAGGTAACGAGTGGAGGACAGAGGAGCCTCTTAAAGAAGAAGTTACAGGTCTGTGAGAGCCAGAAATCTTGCTTGTTTGTAGGTGACCAAATACTTATTTTCCACCATAATTTGCAAATAAATTCATTAAAAATCCTACAATGTGATTTTCTGGATTTTTTTCCCTCAATTTGTCTGTCCTAGTTGACGTGTACCTATGATGAAAATTACAGGCCTCTCTCATCTTTTTAAGTGGGAGAACATGCACAATTGGTGGCTGACTAAATACTTTTTTTCCCCACTGTATGTTGTAAGCAAAAAATGTAATTACAGATATGCACAGTAGCATTTTTTCAGTAATTGCATCAGTATTATTATTCAAGGTCATTCAAATAGATCTTTTAAACAGGCGAGTACTAATGGCATGATTTTTTGTATATGTTTTATATATACCAGTTGGCTATAGTGAGATAAATGTAAATGTTGCAAATGAACAAGGCTACTGAACAAGGTTACTGAACAAGGCTACTGAACAAGGTTACTGAACAAGGTTACTGAACAAGGCTACTGAACAAGGCTACTGAACAAGGCTATTGAACAAGGTTACTGAACAAGGCTACTGAACAAGGCTACTGAACAAGGTTACTGAACAAGGCTACTGAACAAGGTTACGACAAGCTACTACAGGCTATGAACAATTACTGAACAAGGTTACTGAACAAGGCTACTGAACAAGGCTACTGAACAAGGCTATTGAACAAGGTTACTGAACAAGGCTACTGAACAAGGTTACTGAACAAGGCCATTGAACAAGGCTACTGAACAACATTACTGAACAAGGTTACTGAACAAGGATACTGAACAAGGATACTGAACAAGGTTACTGAACAAGGCTACTGAACAAGGTTACTGAACAAGGCTACTGAACAAGGCTACTGAACAACATTACTGAACAAGGTTACTGAACAAGGCTACTGAACAAGGCTACTGAACAACGTTACTGAACAAGGTTACTGAACAAGGCTACTGAACAAGGTTACTGAACAACGTTACTGAACAAGGTTACTGAACAAGGCTACTGAACAAGGTTACTGAACAAGGCTACTGAACAAGGCTATTGAACAACATTACTGAACAAGGTCATTGAACAAGGATACTAAATAAGGTTACTAAACAAGGCCATTGAACAAGTACTGATAAGGTTCAAACAGGTTACTGAACAAGGTTACTGAACAAGGCTACTGAACAAGGCTATTGAACAAGGTTACTGAAAAAGGCTACTGAACAAGTCTACTGAACAAGGCTACTGAACAAGGATACTGAACAAGGTTACTGAACAAGGCTACTGAACAAGGCTACTGAACAAGGTTACTGAACAAGGCTACTGAACAAGGTTACTGAACAAGGTATGAACAAGGATACTGAATAGTTACTGACAAGGTTACTGAACAAGGCACTGAACAAGGATATTGATAAGGTTACTGAACAAGGCTACTGAACAAGGCTACTGAACAAGGTACTGAACAAGGCTATACGTCTGAACAAGGTTTACTGAACAAGGCTATGAACAACTACTGAACAAGGTTACTGAACAAGGCTACTGAACAAGGCTACTGAACAAGGCTATTGAACAAGGTTACTGAACAAGGCTACTGAACAAGGTTACTGAACAAGGCCATTGAACAAGGATACTGAATAAGGTTACTAAACAAGGCCATTGAACAAGATACTGAATAAGGTTACAGAACAAGGTTACTGAACAAGGTTACTGAACAAGGCTACTGAACAAGGCTATTGAACAAGGTTCCTGAAAAAGGCTACTGAACAAGATACTGAACAAGGCTACTGAACAAGGTTACTGAACAAGGTTACTGAACAAGGCTACTGAACAAGGCTATTGAACAAGGTTACTGAAAAAGGCTACTGAACAAGGCTACTGAACAAGGTTACTGAACAAGGCTACTGAACAAGGTTACTGAACAAGGTTATGAACAAGGATACTGAATAAGGTTACTGAACAAGGTTACTGAACAAGGCTACTGAACAAGGCTATTGAACAAGGCTACTGAACAAGGCTACTGAACAAGTCTACTGAACAAGGTTACTGAACAAGGCTATTGAACAAGGCTTCTGAACAACATTACTGAACAAGGCTACTGAACAAGGTTACTGTTTGTATAAACACTTTTCTAATTTATTTTCATTCAACACAAATAATATAAGTATTTTTTTTCAGGTATTTTCTTATTTAAATGCGTCTGAGGTTCTGCACAAATCAATGCCAGCATCATAAGTTTCAACAATTATATTATTTTACACATATCAAATATGTGGATGTTTGGTATGTTTAATGAATTGAATTTTCCATATTTTGTCTTTTCACATTTTTATATTTTCTGTGGTTGATCTGAGCATAGTGGACAAGTGGTCTGGCAAAGAGAAAGTATGTTTCTAAATCACGTTCACTTGTTTCATGTGTATAGATGACATTACAAACCAGAGCTGACAGTAACCACCAACCCAAGCACAACCTTGATATATAGAATTATGGTTATCTGCTTAGTGCCCCTACAACCAATAATCATTATATAACAACCATACAATACGGTTTGATAGATCGGGACAAGCCGTTTCCTCCTGTCTTTTTTTTCATTTTGCCCCTGTCTCAGAGACTCTCTGAGTGAAAAATATAGTTTTGTGACAAATGCTTTGTGTCAAATTCTCCAAATTCAATCCGCTGACAATTGATACAATTGCCCCTATGCATTTTTCACTGGCCTTTGCTTTGATTTAATACTGGCCTCTAAAATGGTCAGATTATGTAGATGGTCAGATGAGGAAATTATGCAATCCATCCTGGTTTCACGCATAAAGTCATTTGACATGTCACTAACTGTATACTTGGAGTCATTATAGTGGAATTATTCATAAACATATTGTCTGTGTTAATCATTCTGTCTAAACTGTATGTTAGATACCGAGTCCGACATCAGTCCTAAATGATAGTGCAGTATTATTCTATAACCAGTAGGGGGCACAGTCATCACTATTTAAGAGTCAGGGCTGTGTAACACCACTCAAGGGATTGTTGACTGGGATATAAAGGATAGAACCTCATAATCATGACAGCACAGTTGGATATCTTCATCAATGTTTAGTATCTTATTGATGATTGTCAGTATCTGTGTCCTCAACACTCAGTGCTAAGAAGATGTTGGTGAAAACGGTTTTATTATTGCTGGAGTAGACTAAATTAAAACATGTTAACGGCGATTTGATGGAATGATATTTACTTTATTGATGATATTACATTAGATGTGTAGTTAGTGTTTATTTTTTCAACATTTTGTTGCTATCAATTTCATTCATCTGATAAATAAAAGCCAAATTGAAGAGTAGCAGCAAACACAAATTGTGCTATGTCACTGTGCAAATTACAAATCCTAATAGGGGAATTTAAGATGGCTAAAGTTCATATTCCTATGACTTTACCTATGACTGCCGTCCTTTTTCTTCACCTGAAAATTCCTATTATAATATCACATCAATATTTTGTAACCATATTCTAAGCAACACAATTATGCTCGCCAGAGAAAACACTCCAATAACGTATTTTATATTTGACAACTGAATGAAAAACTTCATCATTCCATTTCATCCTTACCATTGACAGAAATGATGGACGATAGGTTAAATATCCCAAATACAAAACATCTTATAAATATCTGACTGCCACTATTAATAATTCATTTCCTTTTCTTCGATACAAAAAAAAAAACAGATCAACAATCATAACAACAACAGGGATAATATATGCAGTAAAAAGCTCATTGTCTGACGGAGGAGTGAAGAGGCCAGTGAAATGTGCACTGGAGTGAAACACGAGAGATCCCTGAAAGGGTGAGGCTCAATGTCACTCTGCACGGAGCACAGGCAGTGCAGGCAGCGCAGGCAGCGCAGGCAGGCAGGCAGGCAGGCAGGCAGGCAGGCAGCAGGCAGGCAGGCAGGCAGGCAGGAAGGCAGGAAGCATAACAAACCGCCCCCCAAAAATTGCCTGAAAATCTGTTGAGCCTAGCAGCTCAATTAGAAGTATTATGATTGTGTTATGAGATAATAAAAAATTAAAAACTTTGGTCAGTTGAAGATTTGCTCCACAGAAATACATGTTATAAGCCTTGTAAAAAATATAATCATAAAGAATGCTTATAACAAGTTACAAAGCATTATACATGTCTGCTTTAAGTAAAGTGTTACACATTTCCCCCACTGTTAAAAAGCAATAATCCAATGTATTTTATTGAAGTGTGTTTGAGAGCCTCTTGGAGTGAATATGTACAATGCTACTTTATGGGGTTTTTGTATTGTATGTACAGATGTGTGTATTCTATGTGCTGCATTTGGCCTTGGTATACCTGGGCTGTCGGTTGCTACACATCCTTCAATCCTAAACAAGTTGAGGCACAATAACCCCTTGCTTTAGGAGTCTCTCTTTGGCCAGACCTTGTGATGCTTACCAAAAGGGTGTCCTTGGTCTGAAAGATGTATGGAAGAATGCATGCCAACTTATTCATTAAAGAAGAAGCACAACAGATTACAGCCTTTAGACCCTTTAGACTAACCTACTCACTCCTTCCATTTGAAGATAAACCATTAACCAACCTACACACATTCGTTTCTGGGAAATAAAGAGTGAAAACGTGGAGCTGCCATGAAAACCCTTTCGCCTTTTCACTTCCTTCTTTAGAATTACAATATGGTTGAAGCACAGCCATCACCTCTATTTTTCAGACTGCAAACATGTTAGTTGTTTACCTTGCTTCACTGCAAGGTTTTCTCTCTCAAGGCTAAAACTGAAACATACCTCAAGACCTTGTCCTGGTTTCAGCCTGTTGTATGGCCAAATTCCTCACCATGGCCCTTGTTATAAGACAGGGTAATTGCATCAGGGCTCTCTCCATCTAGATGTGCTCTGGGATGGAGTCACACAAGAGACAGGGCAGGTGTGACAAAACAACATTACAGTCCTATTGATGATCAGAATGCACTGGCCAGAGGGTGTGAGAAGCAGGCAGCATGTAGCTTTGAACTTAGCTTTGAACGGTGTCAGTCTTTATTATCTTCGTGCATGCATTTCATTGTGCAGATAGGCACTAGTTGTATCTTTCATCTCGATGCCTTGCTCTTTGAGAGTGTAGTTAGTGGCGGAGGATGTTTGTGTGTGTGTGTGTGGAGACCGGTCTTTTTCCATTAGCCCTATTTGGTAAAAGACCAAGTCCATATTATGGCAAGAACAGCTCAAATAAGCAAAGAGAAACGACAGTCCATCATTACTTTAAGACATGAAGGTCAGTCATTCCGGAACATTTCAAGAACTTTGAACGTTTCTTCAAGTGCAGTCTCAAAAACCATCAAGGGATATAATATGAAACTGGCTCTCATGAGGACCGCCACAGGAAAGGAAGACCCAGAGTTACCTCTGCTGCAGAGGATAAGTTCATTAGAGTTACCAGCCTCAGAGATTGCAGCCCAAATAAATGTTTCACAGAGTTCAAGTCACAGACACATCTCAACATCAACTGTTCAGAGGGGACTGTGTGAATCAGGCCTTCATTGTTGAATTGCTGCAAATAAACCACTACTAAAGGACATCAATAATAAGAAGAGACCTGCTTGGGCCAAGAAACACGAGCAATGGACATTAGACCGGTGGAAATGTGTCCTTTAGTCTGGAGTCCAAATTTGAGATGTTTGGTTCCAACCACCGTGTCTTTGTGAGATGCGGTGTGGGTGAACAGACGATCTCTGCATGTGTAACTCCCACCGTAAAGCATGGAGGAGGAGGTGTTATGGTGTGGGGGTGCTTTGCTGGTGACACTGTCTGTGATTTATTTAGAATTCAAGGCACACTTAACCTGCATGGCTACCACAGCATTCTGCAGTGATACGCCATCCCATCTGGTTTGGGCTTAGTGGGACTATCATTTGTTTTTCAACAGGACAATGACCCAACACACCTCCAGGCTGTGTAAGGGCTATTTTACCAAGAATGAGAGTGATGGAGTGCTGCATCAGTTGGTAGAGCATGGTGCTTGCAACGCCAGGGTTGTGGGTTCGATTCCCACGGGGGCCAGTGTGAAAAATATATGCACTCACTAACTGTAAGTCGCTCTGGATAAGAGTGTCTGCTAAATGACATAAAAATGTAAAAATGTAATGACCTGGCCTCCACAATCCACCGACCTCAACCCAATTGAGATGTTTTGGGATGAGTCGGATGGCAGAGTGAAGGAAAAGCAGCCAACAAGTGCTCAGCATATGTGGGAACTCCTTCAAGACTGTTGGAAAAATATTCCAGGTGAAGCTGGTTGAGAGAATGCCAAGAGTGTGCAAAGCTGTCATCAAGGCAAAGGGTGGCTATTTGAAGAATCTAAAAATTTTTTGGTTACTACATGATTCCATATGTGTTATTTCATAGTTTTGATGTCTTCACTATTATTCTGCAATGTAGAAAATAGTAAAAATAAAGAAAAACCCTTCAAAGAGTAGGTGTGTCCAAACTTTTGACTGGTAATGTATATACAGTATCTTGCTACTCAATGAGTGGTGATAGACTTGTGTTTTCTCCCTGAGTTAATGCATAGGCTCAGTGGGCGAACACAGTCTGAGAGCACACATACAACCTGAGTTCAATAGTGTGTCAGTCACACTGAGGAAGACTTGATCCTCACTGTCCTGTGCTCGCGTTATTGTTATCTAATGTATCATTTATTGTGGCTGTTGTTCCAGGTTATTTCAGAGGTATTCCTTATGCTCTGTCACGATTCAGGTTAGTGCTTGTATACCACATTGTCATCGTTTGTTCTCTCCTCTGTTCCATATGTTATTGTGCTTCCAATATGCTTACACAATCTACTTTCAAGGCAAGCCTAAAGCTCCTTTTCGACGTAACTGGTTTAAGGTTCCAAGGCTAGGTGATATCCAAGGTGTATTGGGTATTGTAGTTTTAGCTACAGTATGTACTGTATGGGCTATCTATGGAATTGTTGATGTGTTGTAACAAGCATTCATGGATTGAGTATTTCATGTAATTTGGGAATGTACCATTTTATAGACAGTATGTCCGCAACCACCACTATTCAACCTGGTTCTTTGGTGGTTCTGAAAAAAAAAGGTGAACAATATTAATTCAAGGCATGATGCCTGGGTGTTATTAATTCAGAGCCACAGTGACAACTGAATAATAAAATTTAATGAAATTTTTACATGGACTAAAAGTCAGATTTCTTCCCTCATTAATTTTTAAGTCACACTCAGGACTCAGGCTTTTCACAGTAATGACACCGGACACCTTTCCAAAGGGCTGCGTAGGAACATAGCACCTCCTCTCAGGTTCATATCATACGATCATAGACTTGAGGAAGCATCTCTTTCTTTATTTAGTTTTCAATATGTTTAAATCCTGAAATTCAATTTTTTTCTCTCTCAATGCAATAGGCAAGGTAGCCTACAGTATGTGCCAATGGCTAAAGTAATGTTACGTTTTTAAAAGGATTGGAGGTTTGTTTTGTTTTGAGGGACGGCCTGAACATACAAAACATTAACAACACCTGCTCTCTCCATGACATAGACTGACAGGTGAAATCCAGGTGAAAGCTATGATCCCTTATTGATGTCACTTGTTAAATCCACTTCAATCAGTGTAGATGAAGGGGAGGAAACAGGTTAAAGAAGGATTTATAAGCGTGCCATTCAGAGGGTGGAACGCTTTCGACACCTTGTAGGGGGGAGGGTGCAACTCAATAGTAGGAAGGTGTTCTTAATGTTTTGTACATGTTTTGTACACTCAGTGTATATAACAGACACAATATGATCCTACATTTACAGTATGTTGTAATCTCAAAGGAGGTTTCCCTCATGTGTTCCTAATGTTTGGTATACTCAGTGTATTTCCATTCTATTTATCTATTTGTAACATGAGAACACAATTATGCGAGCACTGATAATGGAATTACCAAGAGAAAGACATTTATGTTCATTGTTGAAAGACTGACTGAATCTATTACGTGTCTGGGCTAAAAATGGTGTTATCCATGGCTTACCTCCCCCCAATGGCTTTGGTCTAGGAGTTTAACAATGAGTTTACCTCTGACCAGACGGCTCATAGCAACATGTAGAGAAAGAAAAAGGACAAAGTGATCACTTTTCACCAAAGCTCTGAGGATTATCAGGACAGACTTTCTACCCCCCATCTCTTCCTCTCTCTCTCCCCCCCCCCCCCCCCCCCCCCCACACAAACACACACTCTTTCTCTTTTTCACTTTTTCACTCTCTCTTTCTTTCTCTCTCGCTCAACATCGCCAGTCAATAAAACACTAACTAGAAAAGAGGTCACTGATGGGAGGATAAATCAAATCCGCCTAGCCTCCCCGTGGCTTCCCCATCTCTCCTTGGTATCCTGCGTTGTCTCCATTGTGGCCCAGGCCCAGTATGTAGCATAGTCTAACCTGAGTGAAAGAAGCCCCAATGTGCTGTGACCCTGGTGGAGAATGGATCAGTGGAGGTAGAGGTGCAGTAATCGAGGTAGCGTATGGACAGTGTCCTCTGTGGCATCGTGTGTCCTATTTGTGCTTTTCAAACACAGTCGTCAAATAGTCCAGACTCAGGGAATGATGGAAGATACTCATTGAATTGACATCCTTAGAACATTTTATGATTGTCGCATCATGTAGGTGTTGAAGGCTTTTGCTCGACGACAATGACAAAGAAAATACATTTCAACAAATGAAATGTGGTAAAGGGGACAGTTTTAATGTATCATAATACTGGAAAGCAAAAGGATAACATGCTTACTGGTAAATGCTTTTGTGTCACTCACTTCCTGTCATGAGATAATATGCACCAGGTGAAATAACCTGTCTCTTCTTTGGCAGCATCCTCGCATCTCCTAAACTTCAACGTACCGAAGATGTATGCATCCCCTGACATGTTTCTAGCTAAATGCATCCCAACACTTTACAAATGCATCCAATT